TGTGGGTTGTTTTTCATCTTAATAGTAATTTCTTAATGTGTCAAATCTAACTTATAGTTGAAAAAAAATTCACAACGTAACTTATTGAAGAAATGCCATCTTTAGCATTGCTGAGGTTATTGGAGCAAAGGGGTCAAAATGATGCTAAGAGTGGGGACAGTCGACTCTGGGACTAGAGCATCAGTACCATAGTGACTCCTCTGGCTCATGAGCCATCCCAATATACAGGTTATTGTAATGTGTGAGGGACAGAAATAATGTGGAAGCACAGATCGACATGCAGATGCAAGAGTTCAGAGTCGTTTTAGTTTTGACAGCATGTACCTCATACACTGGGGCAATCCTTTGGCAGGGGCCACACCAAGTGGCTGTGAAGTCCACCACCACCAGCTTGTTTCCAGCTTCCTTCAGGATGTTATTGAACTCTACCTGGAGAGAAATCAAAAACCAACAACATAGTTTGAAATACATTTGAATCTTATAATTAACCTGACAACAAAAAATAGAGGTCAGTGTTTCACATTAAAATACAGATTGTTACAGCGTTGTTGTCCACTTTTCACTGATCGCTGCCTGCGGCTGTATTTACGCACAGAGGATTTCAGCCCAACGCTTCCTCCAGAAAGATTTCGCTTTCAGTTTGCCTAACTTGAGCTTTAGTAGGCTATGACACGTCTACACTGCTCGTTAAGATTTACACCAAACCTAACGGGATATACCAGAGGTTCCCCATGCTCAAAAAAGCCTTTAGAGACTGCATGTAAGTGTTTGCTTAAAATTTACGCAGATCAGTACGAGCTCATTTTACCCCCAAAAGTAGTTTTCTGCGTCTTCATGGTGCATTTTTTTTCTCTTCGTCACAGAAATTGATGTTGATGCTGATTTTCTTGAGGTTTCTCCACTGTTCCTCAAGTCTAAATGTTTCCATGCTCAGTTTCCCCTTTCATAAAATGAAAGTTTCAGATGTGGTGGTCGTTTGAGGCTATGAACTCATTTGAAATGACGTTTATTTCCACACAAATGCAATACAATCAACCCATAACTACAATTAGCTTTGGAAAGCTTGTTTAAGGTGCGTTTCTCTAAAAATCTACGTACATATCCAAAACTGTTTTTACGCTTGTGGCACAGCTGCTCCGCTATAAAACCATAGTGCGAAAAACATCCATTAATGTGTTACAAACGGACAGAGGCACAAAAAGAAGAGCAAACAAGACACACTTACCAGATTCTTCACTTGACGAACCATGATTACTGTTGACGAATGTTTCCAAGACACAACAACAAACCTCCAAGTTTGGAAATGACCTGCGGTCAGCACACGCCCCAAGCTTTTAAACACTCTGCGTAAAGTTAGCCATCAGCAGTCGAAGCGGAAGTCTCTGCATTTGGTTTACACAATAAAAAAATTTAATGAGCTGAACCGTAAATACATTGATTTTTTTTATACCGCCTTTCTACTCAGCCGAGAACTCCAAGCGCTTTCTGCAGGTCATTCAGCCAGTTTCACACACACACACACACACACACTCATACACTCTTATGAGACCAGGACTCATAGAAACGAGGTGTAGGAACACAGACTCTCCTGGAGTCATCCACTGAGAGAGACCGTCAGCAGCCTGTGTAACCATGGAGCTGACCCTCACCACAGCTTTCTGATAAAAGGCTGAAACTCGTAGAAAATGTTAACAGTGTTTGCGCTCTTATATGTGGAGCACTTCAACCCCCTCGACCAGGCAGGTCCTTAAAAGCAGCACATATAATTATTTTATTCACATCAGATTCATGTCTAAAATAACTGTGCACCTCCACAGCGCGTAGAGATCTCCAGCAGTGCAACATCTCCCTCTAGTGGAAAATATATTAATACACAAGAAGCTGTTGTTCACGGTACTGGTGAGACACTCACACATTTAAATCATTGAATTTCGGGATTCCAATCACTTTCATGGCCACAGGGGTATAAAATCGAGCACATAGGCTTGCAGACTGATTCTACAAACATTTGTGAAGGAATAAGTCGCTCTCAGGAGCTCAGTGATAGGATGTCACCTGTGCAACAAGTTCAGCAGTGAAATTTCCTCTCTGTTGCTGTAGAAATAGCCTACAGGTTGTGTAGAAGTTCATGGAAAAACAGCTCCATCGAGCTGATGACTTTAGGGGCTCAATCACTAGTTTCAGGTTCCACTCAAG